GAGGCAGAAGAATAGCTTGAACCCAAAAGGCAGAGGTTGTAGTGAGATGGCACCATTGCACTCCAGTCTGGGAGTGCAAAACTCTGTCTCAAAAAAAAAAAAAAAATTAGCTCTTATTCCTACCTCTGTTTATTAGCCTATGCTCTCACTCATACACAATGCCTGCCTGCCTGCCTTTTGAATAGCCTTAAGATTCACCTTATTTCCTTTTCTCTGCAAAGACATCTCAAACCATCTTATTCCATTTTAGTCTTACTCTCTGAACTTCCTTGGTAATTTTAGTTAGTTCTGGCCAGGCACGGTGGCTCATGCCTGTAATCCCAGCACTTTGGGAGGCTAAGGCGGGCGGATCACCTGAGGTTGGCAGTTTGAGACCAGCCTGGCCAACATGGAGTAACCCCTGTCTCTACAAAAAATACAAAAAATTAGCTGGATGTGGTGGCACATGCCTGTAATCTCAGCTACTTGGGAGGCTGAGGTAGGAGAATCACTGGAACCCGGGAGGCAGAGGTTGCAGTGAGCCAAGGTCACGCCATTGCACTCCAGCCTGGGCAACAAGAGCAAAATTCCATCTAAAAAAATAAATAAATACACACACACACACACACACACACACATATCTATATATGTATATATTTAGTTCTGTAACCTGGTCCATCTATTTTATTTTTTAATTTATTATTAATTATTTTATTTATTTCGAGATGGAGTTACATTCTTGCTGCCCAGGCTGGAGTGCAATGGCACAATCTTGACTCACTGCAACATCTGCCTCCTGGGTTTGAGTGATTCTCCTGCCTCAGCCTCCTGAGTAGCTGGGATTACAGGCATATGCCACCATGCCCGGCTGATTTTGTATTTGTAGTAGAGACAGGGTTTTGCCCCGTTGGCCAGGCTGGTTTCAAACCCCTGACCTCAGGCGATCCTCCCACCTTGGCCTCCCAAAGTGTTGGGATTACAGGTGTGAGCCACCGTGCCGAGCCAGGACCATATCTTAATTGTCTTTGTAGCTGCAGGGTTTAGTATAGTGCCTGGCATCGAATTTTACAGATGCCATTTTCTGTCTCACTGTTTCTTTTTGCCTTTGAGATCTTCCCTCTTTGTTACTGTGATCTTCTCTGCTGATCTTTGTTCTTCTGAGTTTGTCCCTATCCCCACCTCAACCCGAGCTGCATATGGGCTGCCCTCCTTGTTGTGTTTCTCTCACAGACTGTGTACAGTGCCCTGGGCCTGAGGGATGCCTGCCGTTCCCTGCCGAAGTCCATCCAGCTCTTTCGGGACATTGCCCAAGAGTTCTCTGATGACCTGCACCATATCGCCAGCCTCATTGGGAAAGTAGTGAGTGGAAGGAAAGAGCGAGTGCACCCAGGGATGTCAGAGAGAGAGGAGAGGGACTGGAGCCCAGGGAATGCAGTGTTCGAGATGGGGAAGCATGGGAGTTATTGAGGTCAGTTGGGTAGTTAAAGAATGGGATGGTGAGAGGAGGTGGCAGAAATTCAGGGAAGTATCTGGAGGGTGAGAGTTAAAGCAGGACTGCAGGGAGAATTGGGGCCCAAGGAGAGCTGAGGAACAGGACAGAAAGAGGGTACCGGGTGCTAAGAAGCAGTACCTCTTATCTCCTCAGGTAGACTTTGAGGGCAGTCTTGCTGAAAATCGCTTCACAGTCCTCCCCAACATAGATCCTGAAATTGATGAGAGTGAGTGTTGGGTGAGGATGGGCCTGTGAGCCCTGTGCAGGGATGGACTACCATCCTTGGCAGGTGGTCACCACAGCTGGGGATCTTCATAGCAACCAGGGCAGGAGCCTCACTTTTGATAACCACATGTCTTCCACCCTCGTAGAAAAGCGAAGATTGATGGGACTTCCCAATTTCCTCACTGAGATTGCCCGCAAGGAGCTGGAGAATCTGGACTCCCGTATTCCTTCATGCAGTGTCATCTATATCCCTCTGGTGAGGGTAGGAGAGTGGGTGTAGCCTTCAGAGGTCTTTTGGGGGAGATAGGCTTATGAAAGACACACTGGTAGATAAGAAAACTTATGGGGCAGCCTGAAGAACATGAACACCTTTTTGTGGGGATACAGGGATCTCTTAAGCTTCCTCTAGGGAGAGGAGGTGTCCAGTAAGTCTCCAAGCAGGAGAGTTGAGTATCTCCTCTTTACTCTCCCCAGATCGGCTTCCTTCTTTGTATTCCTCGCCTGTCTTCCATGGTAGAGGCCAGTGACTTTGAGATTGATGGACTGGACTTCATGGTAAGACCCTTAACCTCTGTAGGTGAGTGATGAGGAAAATGAGTCAACTGCTGAGGGAGGGCCTTACCCCATAGCAGCACTGCCCAGTATGGGATCTCTCCTCTGTGGTTTTATTCTGAGCTTTACCGGCACTGCGGCAAAGGAAAGAGAAGTCAGGGTTAGGGGCTGGAGGTGAGGTTAGAAAAGTGAGGAAGAAGAGGAGGACCAAGAGATGCAAAGCCCACAGTTTTGAACCCTGGTACCCAGTTTCTCTCAGAGGAGAAGCTTCACTATCGTAGTGCCCGAACCAAGGAGCTGGATGCATTGCTGGGGGACCTGCACTGCGAGATCCGGGGTAAGGAGGAGCCAGAGGTTATGTGCATTGTAAGATGTTTTTAAAAAAGCAGCAGCCAGGGGCAGGAGGAGAGTGGGCAACTTGGGAATGTTTCCAACAGGCCCCTTCTCTTCCTACTCTGTCTCTCTCACTCTGACTCTATCTTTTCCTCTGAATGTCTTGAGGTCTCAGATTTTATCTGCACACCTGTTTCCAGATCCCTCCAGGGGCCTCTGCCTCTCCTTCAGTTTCCCCTGGAGCTGACCTCCAGCTCCCTCCCTCACCCCCTCTCAGACCAGGAGACGCTGCTGATGTACCAGTTGCAGTGCCAGGTGCTGGCACGAGCAGCTGTCTTAACCCGAGTATTAGACCTTGCCTCCCGCCTGGATGTCCTGCTGGCTCTTGCCAGTGCTGCCCGGGACTATGGATACTCAAGGCCCCGTTACTCCCCGCAAGTCCTTGGGGTACGAATCCAGAATGGCAGGTAAGAATAGAGGTGGGTGGAGGAATAAACATGAGGGGTCCAAAGGCTCCATCTTCTGGGGCTTCATCCATTTTGATCCACAAGCTATGCAAGATGCCTCTTCACCCACTGCAGACATCCTCTGATGGAACTCTGTGCCCGAACCTTTGTGCCCAACTCCACAGAATGTGGTGGGGACAAAGGAAGGGTCAAAGTCATCACCGGACCCAACTCATCAGGGAAGAGCATATACCTCAAACAGGTGAGGAGAAGCCCTACAGCCTGGGCCTCTGGCATCTTCTGCATCTACTCCACCCCTACTTGTAACACCCAATCCAAGCTCCTGCAGCAATTTTCCCCTGTTTTCTGACCCCACCCTTCATGAAAGGACCATGTGCTTCCATTTCACATGTTCTCATTCTCTATTAGAGAGCCATGCTCTAATGGAACTTTCCATGGCTCAAATTCCTCCACCCGCCTCTGAGTAGGTACACGCCACTCCCAAGTATGTCTCTGCCCATGTCCCATGCCTCTTTACTGATCCTAAATTAGCCAACGGGGCTATGATCAGGATTGGGGGAGGAGAGACAGAGTCAGTGTATTCTTTACCTTTTTTTCCTGTTTCACTCTATCTCTCTTTGATCTGTCATTCATGCCTTGAGCCTCTCTTTCACCTCAGCCCATAGCACCAGGCCCCAGGCCCTGTCTCCTTCCCTATTCAGGTAGGCTTGATCGTATTCATGGCCCTGGTAGGCAGCTTTGTGCCAGCAGAGGAGGCTGAAATTGGGGCAGTAGATGCCATCTTCACGCGAATTCATAGCTGTGAATCCATCTCCCTTGGCCTCTCCACCTTCATGATCGACCTCAACCAGGTCAAAGGGAGCAAAGGGAGGTGGGATTGAGGGAGCGGGTAATGGGGAAGGAACCCCTGAAAATGCTCAGAACAGGAAAGCATGCCCTCTGCTGCATACCCTCTATACTAAAATTGGGAAGCGCTAGGGTCAGAGACAGAAAGAATCAATACCACAAATACCTCTTATTTTTATTTTTATTTTTTTATGTTTTTTTTTCTTTTTTTTTATTTTAAAGATTAGAGATGGGGTTTCACCGTGTTGGCCAGGCTGGTCTTGAACTCCTGACCTCAGGTGATCCGCCCGCCTCGGCCTCCCAACACAAACACTTTATGAATGCTTGCTTCGTGTGAGTCACTGTTGGCAAAGAGAGGATGAACAAAGCATGCACCTCACCATTCTAGAACTTGCAGTGCAGTGGGGATGTCGCATATACAGCTTTATTCACAGGTCAACTGTGGTCAGTGCATTACAGGCCTCCAATACTAACTTTCCCTTGTCCACCTTACGCCCAGCAGGTGGCGAAAGCAGTGAACAATGCCACTGCACAGTCGCTGGTCCTCATTGATGAATTTGGAAAGGGAACCAACACGGTGAGGGGAGAAGCTGATAAGGGGAGAAACTAAGGAGGGGAAAACAGAGGAGGATGAAGGAGCATGTGAGTGAGGCTGGACCTCTGGAATAGAATAGGGCTGTGTGGGCAGAAAAGAAACAGTACATAAGATAGGGAAAGGCCAGTGCAAGTGCAGAGGGACACATGGGATCCCCATGGCTCTGAACCCTAATCTCTGCCTTCTTTGCAGGTGGATGGGCTTGCACTTCTGGCCGCTGTGCTCCGACACTGGCTGGCACTTGGACGCACATGCCCCCACATCTTTGTGGCCACCAACTTTCTGAGCCTTGTTCAGCTACAGCTGCTGCCACAAGGACCCCTGGTGCAGTATTTGGTGAGCAGATCAATCTAGTCCCTCGGGGGCCCCTAGGCTCTGCATTTCCCAGCGGTGGAGATTGGCTCCTCTATCAGAACAAGGGCTCCCTCGGTACAAAGACCACATCCCTTCCCTTTTCTCCCTCCCCACGGGATTGGCCAAAGGTTTCAGGACAGGAAGGAGGTGATTGACAATATACTGTCTTTTATTCTCTTTTAAGACCATGGAGACCTGTGAGGATGGCAATGACCTTGTCTTCTTCTATCAGGTTTGCGAAGGTGTGGCAAAGGCAAGCCATGCCTCCCACACAGCTATCCAGGCTGGGCTTCCCAACAGACTCGTGGCTCGTGGCAAGGAGGTGATGAGATCCAAATGCACAACCACCTCCACCTCAGAGCTCCCTTCCATTCCTACTCCTACTGGGGCCTGGGTCTACGTCCACAGAATTTCTGACCCTTATTTCCCCTTCTCTTCCCTAACTCCCCTAAGCCCTCCAACCTTCTTGCTTGTTCCTAGGTCTCAGACTTGATCCGAAGTGGAAAACCCATCAAGCCTGTCAAGGATTTGCTAAAAAAGAACCAAATGGAAAAGTGAGTGCATGGCCCCAGTGTCTTCACTCTCTGCATCTTCTCCTATGGCTCTTCTCCCCTTTTCAGGGACTCATCCTTCCTCCAGCACTTTGCCCTTCAGAAACCCATCATTTCTTTCTGAAACCCCTAAATCTTCAAGATCCCAGGTTTTCTGTGCCACAGCCTCTCCCCTCTGCCCAGGGACTTGGTTGTCCATTCTCCCATAAATCTCACTATTTTCTCTTTCTTCAGTTGCCAGACATTAGTGGATAAGTTTATGAAACTGGATTTGGAAGATCCTAACCTGGACTTGAATGTTTTCATGAACCAGGAAGTGCTGCCTGCTGCCACCAGCATCCTCTGAGAGTCCTTCCTATGCCCTCCTCAGCCTCCTGAGATCCCAGTGGGCTGCCAGGCCCTCTTTGTTTTCTTATCTCCTTCAGACCCAGAATTTTTAGTTTCTCTAGAAATTTTGTTTCATATTAGGAATAAAGTTTATTTTGGAGAAAGGTATTGTTTCTTTAGGCCAGCCAAAACAAAGAGACTAGGAAAGAGCTGAAACACAGAGCAGGAATCCACAGGGGAACCTGCCCTGCCTCAGTAAAAATACAATGTCATTGCTGTAGGAAGACCCTCGGATTCTACCCAAGGAGACTTCATGAGAATCAACCACTTCAGAGAGGCCCTACAAAAACAAATTAGAGGGAAGACAGAGGGGCCCACGGGAGATGGTCTCTCTTCTCAAGTGGGAACATCCAGCCTCAGACAGACACAGCAGGAAGGGGCCTGAGAGGCTGACAGAAGCAGGATGGGTGCAAGGCAGGGGTGGAGGGGAGGGACCAGTCCAGGCTACACCAGTGGGAGTGGCTCCACTCTTCCCACCTCAGAGCCATGGGGAGCCAGGGCCCTGGCGGGCTGCCCTTGGTACAGGCTCCCTACACGGTCCTGCTGCTGCCGCTGGGGACAAGCCGCCAAGACCCAGGGGCCCAGAGCTTCTTCCTTTGGGTGAGTATCAGCCAAGCAAGAGGTCCTAGGGGAAGTCTTTCTCCATAGATCTGCCTTTTATATTTCCACTCAAGTTGAGGGCCCACAGTGTTCTCGCCTGCCTCCTCTTGCCCTTCAGGTCCTCAGTGGCCAGTCTGGGCTCACACTCAGTGACCACACAGTGAACCCAAACAGGGGGGGAGAGGAAGGGCCATGACCCAGAGCCCTGCTGTAGCATAAGAGTCAGCCTCTGTGTTTGCCTTTCCAAGCTGCGGAGGATGCAGGCTCTGGAGAGAGAACAGGATGCCCTGTGGCAGGGGCTGGAGCTGCTAGAACATGGCCAGACCTGGTTTAAAGACCGTCTGAGGGAGGCGCATCGACAGCAGCTGCATCTGGGGGCCGTCGGTGAGGTAAGGGGGCTGTCCCTCTGTGTGAATTGGGGGAGGGCCAGGGAGGGAGGAGCAGGGAATGTGTAGACACAGCCTGAGACCACTCTGGAGAGGGGAGAGTTAATGGTCAGGGATCATGAGTTGGAGGCAGCATCATAATGACAGGATGCCACCAAGTGTTAAGTTGGTGTTCATTGTTGGGGCTGGAGGAAGCTGGTCTGCATTCCATTCAGAGGGATTTGGATCACTCCATGGAGATGAGGGCGTGGCCTGGATTATTCCAGTGGGGCAGGGATGGACAGGGAGGCTCCATGAAGAGTAGTGAAAGGGGTTATTGTGCTATTTGAGTGGGTAGAGGAACTGACATCAGCTCTAAAGAGATGGAGGTGCGAGTATTGGATTTTCCCACCTGCCTGGGAGGGATGAGGGGATCCAGATGAGGGGAGGGATGGCCTGTGGTGACAGGAATAGAGTGGCAGATGGACCTCAGGTTTTTACCATGTTGTCAGCCTTCAACTCCTCCTCTAGAATTTTCTAACAGATTTACACCCAGAGCCTGGTGGCCCCCAGTTAGCCCAGATTCAAAAGGTGAACATCTGTTTGCAGAATCTGATTCAGGAGAAGGTGAGTTTATTGTTTTCAGTTTAGACTTTTGGGAAGTGGGACTAGAGAGTGGAGTTGTTGGGGTCAGTGCTGGCTTAACAGAAAACACAGCGAATTTCCCCTCCAGTTCTCCCCAAGTACACTGAACAAGGCTAGTTCCTGCACCACCCAGGATTCAAAGGAAAGACCAAGGAAGCCGAACTTGTGGCAGCAACAGGTAAACTTCAAGGGAGAGGGCAGGAGCCCCCACCCTACAGGGCAGGGAGGAGCCCAGAGGGCCCGTCTGTTTCTCCTCTCCTCTAGGAGTTGTCAAGGCAGCAGAAAGGAGTCACCCAGCCAAAGGAGGAGATGGCTCAGTGGGGCTGCCCTAAGGGGCCAAGAGGCCCTACCCGTGTCTAAACCTTCCTCTCACTCCCCTAAGTCTGGTGAAAGAGTCAGAAGCCCCAGGCTCCTTATTCTGCTTCTTAACAGCTAAAAAAATGGCTCCAGGTAGTAAGTCAATAAAGTTCAGACATCTTGGTGTAACGTGTCTCCTCTACTCCTGAAAACTTTCTTTCATCTTCTTGGTGTCACATGTCCTCATTCTCCCCTATATGAAATGCCAAAATGGTCTTTCTTTGAAATCCCTCTGGGAAGAAGATATGTTTATTGAAACTGTCCTTCAGCCTTAAATACAAAAATAAAACCGAAGCTGCTCCAGAAAACAACTTTCTCCAAAAATGTCTTTGTTTCTCATAGGGTTAGGAAAAGTGCATTGTGGGAAAATCCACTGCCATCTATTCCAGTCTTGCAGGGTTTTCTGTTTTGTTTCTGAGATAGGATCTCACTGTTGCCCATGCTGTAGTGCAGTGATGTGACCACAGTTTACTGCAGCCTTGACCTCCTGGAATCAAGCCATCCTCCTGCCTCAGCCTCCCAGAGTGCTGGGATTACAGACATGAGCCACTGCACTCAGCCCCAGTCTCGAAGTTTTTAGGAAAGGAAAGGGATGTGGAGAAAAAAAACCTTCATTGGCCAGGTGTGGTGGCTCACGCCTGCAATCTCAGCACTTTGGGAAACCAAAGCATGTGGATCATATGAGGTCAAGGGTTCAAGACCAGCCAGGCTGGCCAACATGATGAAACCCTGTCTCTACTAAAAATACAAAAAATTAGCTGGGCATGGTGGTGGGCACCTGTGATCCCAGCTACTGGGGAAGCTGAGGCAGGAAAATCGCTTGAACCTGGGAGGTGGAGGCTGCAGTGAGCTGAGATTGTGCCATTGCACTCCAGCTTGAGCGACAAGAGCAAAACTCTGTCTCAAAAAAAGGAAGGAAGGGAGGGAGGGACGGAGGGAGAGAGAGAGAGAAAAGAAGGAAGGAAGGAAGGACGAGAGAAAGAAAAAGAAAAGAAAGAAAGAGAAAGAAGGAAAGAAAGAAAGATAAAAAAGAGAAAGAAAAGAAAAAGAAAAAGAAAGAAAGAAAAGAAAAGAAAGAAGGAAGGAAAGAAAAAACAAGAGGCCAGGCATGGTGGCTGGCCGGGCACAGTGGCTCCCATCTGTAATCCCAGCACTTTGGGAGGCTAAGGCAGGTGGATCACGAGGTCAGAGTTCAAGACCAGCCTGGCCAATATGGTGACTCCGTCTCAAAAAAAAAAAAAAAAAAAATCTAGGAGAGGTAAGGTCCTAAGGCCTATGTGGCAAATGTGTCCCAGGTCTTCTTACCAGTGGGGCAGGTTGAAAATAGTTCTGGAGACCCATCCCTGTAGAGCCTGTTGTGTCACCAGGAGTCCAGGCCTAGCAGAAGCAGCACCCCTCCAATTGTGCCCCACCACGGGCTGCCCGACAGCCCTGCCCCAGCCCTGCCTTGAGTCACCATTGTGAAGGGGCAAAAGGCAGGGGTGGCCGTGGTGAAGATAGGGTCATGTGAGTGGGTAGGGGCAGCGAGCTGGTCCTGCAGGGAAGAGGAGGAGAATGACAGGGGGTGCTAGAGCTGTACCCACGTTAAACCTACATCACGCTTCCCCCTGCCTTGCCTACCCTGTGATGGAAAGTAGCGGTGCCTCTCACCTGCCGGGCTGGGGCCAGCACCAGGAGCCGGAGGAAAGCATGAGTCGGGGGCACTGGGCTGGCTTCTCGTCCCGCGGCAGTCACAGTCACCATCACCACGGAATCCGGGGGCGCTGAGTCTGGGACCTCCAGCCACAGGCGGCCCCAGGCGGACTCATTCAGTTCCAGGTGAGCCCTGGAGAGAGGATACGGGCGTCGGGCTAAAGCCCCAGGCTGGCAGAGCCCAGAGCCAGGGGATTCCTGCAGGGGCAAGGGAGGGGAGAGGAGGATTCTGAGGGCCAATCGGAAGGGGCCAGGGGCGGGACTTGGGATAAGCATGGGTCAGGCAAGATGCCAGAAGGCGCTGAAGGGTTCAGGGGCCTCACCTGGAGAGGTTGGAGGTGAGGGAGAAGCTGGGGTTTACGGATGTCCTAAGGTCAAGATCCTGAGGGCCCGAGAAGCTGGCGACGCGGAGACTGAGAGGGACCTTGCTGCCCGGGGCCAAGAAACCCGAGGGACTGGTAAGCTGCAGAGAACGGCTCGTCAGGGAAGGGGCCGCTCCAACTCTCTCCAGCCCCAGCCGCACCCTCCCCTAACATCTCACCTCCAGAAGGACAGGGACCACAGTGCTAGGCTGAGGGGCAGCCCTGTGCAGGCGCCGCCCCACTCCGTCCTGGCCAATCAGCTCCAGGGAGAAGGGTCTAGGGGTGGACAGCAGCGTGGCCGGCAGCGAGGCTGCGAGGAGACCTCGCTCTGGGGGTCCCACGGGCTCCAAGGGTACCTGGCCTAGTTCGGCACCCTCGGGGACCCCTCGAAGGATGACGTGGGAGAAATGCGGCTGAGGATCCCCGGGACTGGCTCTGGAACCCAGCCCTGTCACTTCTACCAGCAGCTGGGTCTGTAGACCTGGGACAGGGGCGAGGAGGGGAGAACATTGTGAGATTCAGAGACACAGGGAGAAAAGAATTAATGGCCTTCAAAATAGGGGTTCCCTCTGGGGAGTATGGATGGGGAAAAGAGGTCACCTTCGAGGGGTACTAATGGGAAGCATCAGGCGGGAGTTCTGGGGTGCGGGAAATGTTCTATATCCTGAACTGGGCATATTATATGAAATCCATCAAACTATACACTTTAGTGCATATTATGTAAATTATAACTCAATGTTAAGGTTATGTATATGTATAGATGTATGTATACATCTATACATTATAGATTATATAAATATATAGAGATATTAAAAATGGGGTTATGTGGGAGGGGGGCTCAGAGAATAGATATACCTGCAACTGGCTGAGTCACGGGGTAGAGGCCAGGGTGGGGTCCATCCTCCATGGGGATCCCAAAGTGGAAGAGGAAGTCCAGGGAGGTCTGGGCTGGGAGAGGGCAAAGGCAGTCAGAACTCTTCCCTAAAGGAGTGTGACTGATAGTGCTCTCTGAGGCCTGCAGTCTCTCCTTCCCCTTCCCAGGAACGCCTCCCTCCTTACCTTGCACTCTCACCCCAGGGGTGCCCTCAGCTGTGACCTGGATCTCCCAGGTTCCTGTCTGCAGAGGGTCATCCATGGTCACCATCCAGAACTGCCCAAAGCGGCGAGTGTGACCCAGAGGACCCATGCCTTCTTCCTGGCCCTGGGAGACCCCTGGGGTCAGGGAATAAACTGTCACATGAAACACTTGCTCTCCCTGAGTACACTCCCCCAATTGTCTATTCCCCAGGCCCCATTCTTTGCCCTGCCTTCAAAGGTACCTGCAGGGTTCTTGATCCAGAAGCTGCTGATGTCTCCATGGATCCGGACTGTGATCCTCTGGAGCAGCCCATCCACACTGAACACAAGTGGCTGCCCAGGCAGCACAACAGGAGGGTCCAGGGGAAGAGTCACCTTGAGGGATGGGCAGGACCAGAAAATGGGGGAGATGATGAGGTGTGGGATCAGGTGGGAACAAATACAGAAGAAAGGGGAGATGGAAAGAAACCATGTCACACACAGAGAAAGGGACGCCAGTGAGAGGGGGGCACAGGGCCAGGGATGAAGTTATTATGGTCAGTGACAAAGTTGGAGGCAAGGGATTCAGGATTAGACAGTCACATCTTGTACCCCATTAAAAGATGACAGGCCAGGCATGGTGGCTCATGCCTGTAATCCCAGCACCTGGGAGACCAACACAGGAGGATCATTTGAGACCAGGGGTTCAAGACCAGCCTAGTCAACATAATGAGACCCTGTCTCTACAGAATACAACCCCCCAAAAAAAAGATGGTAGGACTTTCTGTGGTAACCCTGAGGGCAGAAAACTGGAGGCCAACTGGGGAGGGGTTTACTGATATGAAAGGGCAATGCAGGCTGGGCACTGTGGCTCATGCCTGTAATCCCAGCATTGTGGGAAGGCAAGGTAGGTGGATCACTTGAAGTCAGGAGTTCGAAACCAGCCTGGCCAAAAAAATGGTGAAATCCTGGCTCTACTAAAAAAAATACAAAAATTAGCTGTGCCTGGTGGTAGGTGCCTGTAATCCCAGCTACTGGGGAGACTGAGGCAGGAGAATCCCTTGAACCTGGGAGGTGGAGGATGCAGTGAGCCAAGATCACACCATTGCACTCCAACCTGGGCAACAGCATGAGACTCCATATCTCTCTCTATCTATCTATCTATCATCTATCTATCTATCTATCTATGTCTATCTATCTATGTATCTATCTATCTATATCTATGTATCTATCTATGTATCTGTGTATCTATCTATCTATCTATCTATCTACCTATCTGCAGTGGCTAGCCATGGATCTTAGAGGGAGGGAAACTTCCTTTCCAGCCCCATGACTGGAAGAGCAACACAGCAGTGAGAGTGATTCCCCTTTCTCCTATTAGAAAAGAGGTGCAACCTGATCACCCTTCAGTTCCTAAGTGAGTACACTGGCCCCCACTTACCAGGGCAGCCATGCTCTCCCCAACAATGGTTGCCACGTCCTGAATGTGCCGGTTTTTGGTGAAAATCACCTCTCCTCCTGAGGCCAGGGCCACTGCTTTGTATGGCTCAAAACGCAGAGGGGACAAGACCTCACGCCGAGCTCGGCCCTGAACCCTTGATGGGTCTTCAGTCACCAGGAATGTTACCTGAGGCCAGAAGAGAGGGCCCAGTGGTTGAGTTATCCAAGTGCCATCCACTATTATAAATGAGAATCCCTGGCCGGGCGCGGTGACTCACGCCTGTAATCCCAGCACTTTGGGAGGCTGAGGCAGGTGGATCACGAGGTCAAGAGATCGAGACCATCCTGGTCAACATGGTGAAATCCCGTCTCTACTAAAACTACAAAAAATTAGCTGGGCATGGTGGCGCGTGCCTGTAGTCCCAGCTACTCAGGATGTTGAGGCAGGAGAATTGCCTGAACCCAGGAGGCGGAGGTTGCGGTGAGCCGAGATCGTGCCATTGCACTCCAGCCTGGGTAACAACAGCGAAACTCCGTCTCAAAAAAAAATAAATAAATAAATAAAATAAAATAAAAATGAGAATCCCTGTGCTCAAGCTTTCTCCAGAGTTGATGGTTCGTGATAAGGTCTCTGCCTGCCTCTGGCTGCTAGAGTGGGGTCTCCCAATGACAACCCCCTGCCTTCAGTTAGTAGTTGGCCACCACTGGCTGGGTGCGGTGGCTCACATCTGTAACCCCAGCACTTTGGGAGGCTGAGGCGGGCGTATCACGAGGTCAGGAGTTCAAGACAAGTCTGGCCAACATAGTGAAACCCCATCTCTCCTAAAAACACAAAAAATTAGCCAGGCATGGTAGTGCGTGCTTGTAGTCCCAGATACTTGGGAGGCTGAGGCAGGAGAATTGCTTGAACCCGGGAAGTGGAGGTTGCAGTGAGCCAAGATCTCCACACTGCACTCTAGCTTGGACAACAGAGTGAGATGTTGTCTCAAAAAAAAAAAAAAAAAGTAGTTGGCCACTCCCTTGTAACTGTCACAGTGGATTTTTGGTGACTAGATTTCCAGTTCTTCACATTGTTTATTGGGCAGGTTCAAATACAAATTCAGCATTATTAAGGGTAGGGCCTCCTGTGCGTGAGCATCATTAAAGGTATCAGGAAATGTTCCGTTCATTGTGCGCTTCTCCCACCATGCACCAAGGCTTGTTGGGCCACTACAGTGTGGTGCAACCCTCGTTATGAGACTGTCATCACAGGATCTCCCCCATCCCTGGGCAGCTAACACTGGGTCTCTCATCAGCTCTGCTCACCCGGCAGCGCCGCTCCTGAGTCAGGGATTCCACCTGGTTGGTGAGAAAGGCATCCTTGGGGGAGGCATCCGTGAAGACAAAGATGTCTGAGAGTGGCGGTGTATGCAGCAGGGCCAGCTGGCAGGGAAAGCAAGGGCCAGTGTTAACAATGGCAGCAGGAGGGGAATGGGCAGAGCCAAGGAGGATGAAGCAAAAGGGAATATGGCCCGGGAATCCTGGTGTGAAGCTAGTGATCTAGGGTCTGAAGGTGGTGGGGAGCCCCAGGAGGGATCTAGCTCCCCCTGGTGGTGGGGCCAGGAAAGGGGGGATAAGAAGGGAAGAAGGGAGGGGACAGACCTGCAGGGCTGACAGGCACATCTCAGGCTCATCTCCACCCCCCAAGGCATGGATCTCATTAAGCTGTTGCCAGAAGCTGTCAGGGTCACTGGTTGTAAACACAGGGCCAAACCCTGGGAAGGGGAAGGGAGGTTAAGATAAGTGAGAAAAGAGCTCCCCTCATTCCTACCAAGAGCCACCTCCCCAGTTAAGAAGCCTGCTGTGCTCCTGGAGTGGACAAGCATTGAAGTAACAATATTCCATTATAAGACTCATAATTGTCAGTGCAGGGTGGGGGAGGGCAGGGCAGTCTTAGGTGTCCCTGGTGGGTGGGAAGATGGGCCTCCACTCCCTTAAAAAAAATGGTGGCATTTCCTGTAGGCCTTTATTGGATACATGTACATATGAAAAAAAAAAAAAAACCACCTAGGGCCGGTCATGGTGGCTCATGCTTGTAATCCCAGCACTTTGGGAGGCTGAGGTGGGACGAGATCAAGAGATTGAGACCAGCCTGACCAACATGGAGAAACCCCATCTCTACTAAAAATACAAAAATTAGCTGGGCATGGTGGTGAGCACCTGTAGTCCCAGCTACTAGGGAGGCTGATACAGGAGAATCGCTTGAACCCAGGAAGCAGAGGTTGCAGTGAGCCGAGATCACACAGCTGCACTCCAGCCTGGAGACAGAGCTGAGACTCTCCGTCTCAAAAACAAACAAACACAAACTGGTCACACCTATAATCCCAGCACTTTGGGAAGCTGAGGTGGGAGGATCACTTGAACCTAGGAGTTCGAGATCAGACTGGGTAACATAGTGAGGCCCCATCTATACAAAAAAATACAAAAATTAGCTGGATACGGTGGTGCTTGCCTATGGTCCTAGCTACTCAGGAGGCTGAGGCAGGAGGATCGCTGGAATCGTGGGCTGCTATGAGCCATGGTCATACCACTGCACTCCATCTTGGCTGACAGTGAGACTCTCCCGCTATCTCAAAGGAAAAAAAAAAGAAAAAAAAAGTTTCCTCACCAGAAAAAAGACAGAATAATAGCACTTACCTCAGAGACTTAGTGGGAAGACTGAATGAGTTGAGTTGATTTTATAAATCTTAGGCTAGTGCTTTGACACATAATAAGCGCTAAGTTCTTCATTTATACCTTCATCAAACATATACTAAGTCTCTATTAAATGCCAGCCACTGTAGGATGTATGCAGACAAATAAGACTCAATCCCTACCTTTAGGCAACTCAGTCCAGTAGGCATTTTATTTGCATCGTTTCAACCCTGGGAGTCAGGCAGGATGAGGCAGGCAACTGACTCATTTTATGCATGATGAAATTGAGGCAAATAAAGTTTAAATGACCAGCCTAAAGACACACAGACTTAAGCCAGATAGTCTAACTCCTAATCAGTGGGAAAGGAATACAGTGCAGGTAGCTGTCTCCGATGCTTCCCAGAAGCCTGGCCCAACCAACCCCATCTTCACCCCAATCTCTGTCGATAGGAAATGAAGAGAATTGAAAATGGCTTATTTTGGACACGTCTTTGTAGCAATGTTTTAAAAAAAGAAAGACTAAAAAAAAAAAAAAAGAAAATGGCTTATTAGCATGAAAACCTAAGAAAGCAGAAGCATGGATTATGCATTAAACTCATGGAAAGTGCTGCCATTTTAGAAACAGTGGGAGAAAAGGCTGCTAGCTAACTCCTTTTCTTTCACAGACAGGGTCTCACTGTGTTGCCCAGGCCGCCCTGGATTGCAGTAGTGCGATCACGGCTCACTGCAGCCTCAATTTCCTGGGGTCAAGTGATCTTCCTGCCTCAGCTTCCCAAGTAGCTGGGACTATAGGCATGCGCCACCACACCCAGATAATTTTCATTAATTTTTTTGTAGAGACCTGAGTCTATGTTGCCCAGGTTGGTCTTGAACTCCTGGGCTCAAAGGATCCTCCCACCTCCACCTCCCAAAGTTCTGGGATTATAGGCGTGAGCCACCCCAGCCAGGCTGCTGCTAATTTTCTGTATGCTCACAGTAGAGGCTCACTCAGCCTTACAGGAAATGCCACCTCAAGGCCACTTCCTCACCACAGCCCTTTATGCCCTACCTTGCATTTTCCTCCACTCCACTGTCCTAGCCAGACCACACTCACCTGGGTCATGAAAAGGCACCAGGACATAGTGGACAGGCTCCATGGGGCTGCCCCTCCGCTGCTCCACAATGTGGCGAGCCTGGATTTTGGCAGCATTGATCTCCTCACCCATGCTGCCCGTGGTGTCCAAGACAAAGCTCAGGCTGGAGGCTGGGGTGATGTCCAGCAGCCTGGGGAGCAGGCCGGAGACACAGTGAAGGGTCTGCACGTTTGTCCCCAGCATCTGGTTTCTCACATGGGGGGGTCCATCCCCAGGAGGCCACTCACCTGGAGAAATCCCTGTCTCCCAGGCGGCTTCGCAGAAGGCTGAAGGCCTGGATGGAGGCTAGAAGGGCCAGTTTTGCAGCCTGGAGGTGCAGCATGTGGTGAGGAGAGAAGCCTGGGGATGTGCTGTCCTTGTTGATGCCTCCCCGAGGTGGCTGGGAGCTGCTCCGGTCAAAATGGCCCCCATGGCTACATTTCCCTGGTTTGGCGAAAGGGATCTGGATAGCGGAGGTCAAAAACCCACTGCCTCCTAAGGAAATGAGTCCCTTTCAGACCTGGCCTGATCCTCTCACCCCTCAGCAAGGGTTCAGCAAGAAATGATGATGGGGCCGGGCATGGTGGCTCACGCCTGTAATCCTGGCACTTTGGGAGGCTGAGGCGGGTAGATCACCTGAGATCAGGAGCTGGAGACCAGCCTGGCCAACATGGTGAAACCCCGTCTCTACGAAAAATATAAAAATTAGCTGGGTGTGGTGGTGCCTGCTTGTAATCCCAGCTACTTAGGAGGCTGAGGCAGGAGAATCACTTGAACCCTGGAGGTGGAGGTTGCAGTGAGCTGAGATTGTGCCACTGCACTCCAACCTGGGCAACAGAGCTAGACTCATTCTAAATAATAATAATAATAATAATAATAACGGCCAGGTGCAGTGGCTCACACCTGTAATCCCAGCACTTTGAGAGGCCAAGGGGGGCAGATGACCTGAGGTCAGGAGTTCAAGACCAGCCTGGCCAACATGATGAAACCCCGGCTACTAAAAATACGAAATTAGCCGGGCATGGTGCTACATGCCTGTAATCCCAGCTACTTGGGAGGCTGAGGCAAGAGAATCACTTGAACCCAGGAGACAGAGGTTGCAGTGAGCCGAGATCGTGCCATTGCACTTCAGCCTGGGCAAAAAGAGTGAAACACCATCTCAAATAATAATAATAATAATGCTTTGTAGAGGGGAATTCTGGAGTAAATCTTAGGGCATGGTGGTCAATCACCACACCACATGGTGGATCTCCTGATCCCTCCAGCCAGTCCCCCAAAGCTGCCTATGGCAAGGGAGAAATCCTATCAGTGGAGGAAGAAGCTGCTCCCCTCCCCCAACCCCACCACAGCCTCCTCAGGGGACGTTCCTCCACCCACCCTGTTCCCAGCATCCTCTCCTCCTAGGAGGAGATGCCATAGCAAAGGCAAGCAAGCCTACAGACAGAGATCTGTCAGGGAGTGGCTGCCTCCCATTACTTCTGGGGAGCTTTCTTGTCTGGTACCTGGAGGCTTGGGGGGATGAGTTCCAAAGTAGCCAGAGGTGAGGAGGGTGAAGCCCAGCCAATTCCCGGGGCAGCTCAACTCCTCGCAATCGGAGCAGGTAGGATCGCTCACTGGGAAGAGAGGGCAGGGCTAGAACCCAAGATTTTGCCACTCCCAGCCTTTATCCCCACCCATCCAAAGTTCTTCAGCTTTTCCTCCCAGCTGGGATGAGGCAAAAGCCCTGAAACCTACGGTCATGGGCCCACAGTGAGACTGAATGTTTGAGACTGGGGCTGTGCTTGAAAACACAGCACGGACCAGGCACGGTGGCTCATGCCCGTAATCCCAGCACTTTGGGAGGCTGAGGCGGGTGGATTGCTTGAGTCCAGGAGTTTAAGACCAGCCTGGGCAACATAGTGAGACCTCATCTCTAAAAAGTAAATAAATACATAAATAAGAAGAAGGCCAGGCGCAGTGGCTCATGCCTGTAATCCCAGCACTTTGGGAGGCCAAGGCAGGCGAATCACCTGAGGTCTGGAGTTCGAGACCAGACTGACCAACATGGAGAAACCTCGTCTCTACTAAAAATACAAAATTAGCCAGGTGTGGTGGTGCAGGCCTGTAATCCCAGCTACTTGGGAGGCTGAGGCAGGAGAATCACTTGAACCCAGGAGGCAGAGGTTGCAGCGAGCTGAGATCTCACCACTGCACTCCAGCCTGGTCAACAGAGCAAAACTCCATCTCAAAAATAAATACATAATAAAAATCCCCCACAGTGCGTGTAGGGACCAATCCTATGGGGATTAGGCCCTTCGTGAGTTATGGAAAAGAGGCAGTTTTCGGGTAAGAGGATGAGGGGACTGTGAGAGAAGGCCCTGTGTGAGTCAGCGTGGGGAGGAAGCCACACTTCAGACAGGACTGTGATCCTCGCTATTCCTCCCTGTGTGACCTTGGGGCAGCTGCTTAACCGAGTCAGGCATTGCTTGGACTGGGAGAGATTAAGTAACATCACACCCTCTGAGACCTCAGGATGTCACACAGTGGCTGGGTGAACTTAGGAGGTGGCCCTGTGGGCTCCCACATCACCACCGGGTCATAGCTGTACCTTGTGCCAGGCTTCGGAGCTCCTGTCTTGGCCAGAGGAGGTGAGGGTGTGGCTGCTGCTCGCCCAGCTCCACCCAATTGCTATGACTGTAGAAATCCTGGTCCGGAGGATAGTAGAAAGGGAATAAGGCACTAGTCTGATCTTTCTCACCATCTCCAGCCCTAATATGCCACTCCTTCGAGTTTCCCACCCAGAAAATCCCCTACCACCCCCGCTGCTCCCACCAGACACCCCAAGTCTCCTCCACTGCCCTCTCTCCATTGCTCAGACCAGAGCTTTGCCCAGGTGGAAATCGTCCCAGTGTCTCTTCTCAGCTCAGAGTCTAACCAAAGGCCCCTCTTGGCCTGCAGAGCCCTACGACTTGTGCTACTCTGTTCACCTCTCTGACCTCGCAGCCTTCCTCTCTCACCCTCACTTCTCTCCAGCCACAGTGCCCTCCTTGCTGTTCCCACAGGGAGCACTTCCAGCTTGGAAGCGGGGACTGAGACATAGCCTCGGGGCACTGCTTGCCAGTGCCCACCCTTTCCAGAGTGAAGGAAGCATGATCAGGAAGGTACCATAGGACATGATCCATCCCAGACAGGCACACTGGAAGTGAAGACCCCTCTGACCATCCCCGCAACCCTGTTCTCACCTGCAGGGCATGGAGCGCAGCCCCGAGGCGCTGGCGGGCCAGGGTGTGGTCAAGGGCTCTGGCTGCCACCAGGGTCTCCCGCAGAGCCCCTACCAGGCGCGCACGTCCCTGACCCAGTCGCTCAGCATCAAAGTGCAGCTCGGGGTCATTTTTGGAAGTTGGTAGGAAGTCCTGGGCTGCATTGGCACGAGACACCTCACCTAAGGCTGCTCGGAACCGCCGGGAAGGAGACCCAGGTCCAAAGTAGGCAGCAAAGAGGTCATCGGCAAGGAGTGTTCGACCCTGCAGAGAAGAGCAGGGGACGGGGATCCAGGGAGGCCCCTTGGATTGACCGTTGCCCACCTTATCTCAGCAACCGACACTCAAGGCTGGCTATGAGGGTCCTCACCCCTATTAAGGAGGAAAAGTCCTGGACCTTTTTTTTCTTTTTTTTTTTTTTTTGAGACAGAGTCTTGCTCTGTCACCACTGGAATACAGAGGCACAATCTCGGCTCACTGCAACTTCTACCTCCTGGGTTCGAGCGATTCTCCTGCCTCAGCCTCCCGAGTAGCTGGGACTAGGTGCATGCCACCATGCCCAGCTAATTTTTATATTTTTAGTAGAGAAGGGGGTTTCACCATGTTGGCCAGGATGGTCTCGATCTCTTGACCTTGTGATCCATCTGCCTTGGCCTCCCAAAGTGCTGGGATTACAGGCGTGAGCCACCGCGCCCAGCCAGTCCTGGATCTTTCTAAGTAGGGGAACTCCTAATTTCAGGACCAAGACTACTGGGTATTGTTGCTGCAGGGGTGGGGCCATAGGTGTCTCTTCTTTTGGCAACCAGAACCTTCAAGGAGTAGAGGCCCCATGGAATTGGGGAATCTGGCAGGGGTGTGACAGGACCCAGGGTGCTCACCAGGAAGTCCTCAAGACGAAGAGGGGGGCGGCCTGGCGGAGGCTGCTCCAGGAAGAGCTGCAGGGTGACGTTGAGCGCTGCCTCCTCAGTCAGGTCTTGGTGGGTGATGGAGCCAGGGGCAGCCAGCAGGCTCCAGATGTTGGGGAAAAAGGCAGATGTCGGGGGCAGCAGCAGCTGCAGCAGAAGCAATGCTGAGGGGCCTGGGTGGGATTGGGGCACCTCCGTAGGGAGCATGGCTGAGACATGGACCTGGGAGACAGAAGGCTCTCAAGGGAGGAGGAAGCAGCCACGATTCCAAGGCAGGCGGCTCTGCTGGTCTCCATGAGCACCTGCTTTACCTTAAAAGTCGCGTCTGCTCCAGCCTGGCTTCCCCGCCCTCTCCCCCGTCACCCAGACAACCTGAGGGTTTCATCAGACCAATAGGAACATACACACCTGCCAGGAGAGGGGTCCAAGGCTCCTCCCCCAGGCACCCCTCCCTAGTCCCTGGATGAGTCCCCAGCCCTGCCAAAGAAACACTCCCCACGCCCAGGAAGCCTGAGTCCTCTTGGGCCCTCCCCTACCTGGTTGCTGGGTCTCCTGGGCAGGGCTGGCCTGGGCGCGACGTCACAGGGCACTTAGGTCAGAGTTATAATTAACCGGGGCTCAGTGAAGGGGGAGGGAGGCCCCAGCAGGATGGGGGAGGACGGGCAACCCGTGGCCCCTCTGCTCATGCCTACCCAAGGCCATAGGCAGCAGCCCACACTAGGGCGGGCCTCCCTTGGCTGCAGTGTGGAGGTGAATGAGAGCTGGGGAGGAGGAAGGGAGCGAGCAGCGTGACTCAGACCTGGCACAGTGCCAGGGACAGACCCAGATAGACTCACCCCTCTGCCCTCCAGGACCAGGGCCTCACTCCCACCCTGCAGCCACCAAGGATTCAGGAACCCAGCCCCTCTGCTCCCCTCTCTGCCCACCACAGATGACAAGAGGATTTTGTGGGAAAATATTTTATTGCTGCCACCCTGTGGTGAGCCGCTGGGGGTGAGGGGTGAAGCTGGGTGGTGGATCACAGCATCTTCTGGAATAGGGCGATGGCCTCATCCACCTTCCTGAGCTCTGCTTCCGTCTGTTGGAGCTGAAGTGGAACCGGGTGCGGGCGGGGTGAAGACCCAGGTCCAAGCAAAGGGACACCCACACGCCCAGAGCAGAGTTGCAAAGATGAGCAAGGACCATGGGGGGTCAGTGGCTCAGAGGCACGTGCTTGGCTGGCCAGGCTCCCCACCCATTCCCACCAGCATCCCCACTTCCACCTCTTGGGTCTTGCCTTTTTCCACTGAGTGGTCAGTCCCCAAGAACAAAGGAACCTGAGCCTACATGCCCCCTACCCATGGTCCCCACCTGAGTAGGATAGCACAGGCTCCCAGGAAGGTCACTTCATTTGTCAGATGAAGATGATATTGCCCCCCTCCTGAGGCTCTGGGAGAACCACGTGAGATGAACCACTTCCACTCAAGGCTCCCTAGCTCTTGGCCCTCATGACTGGTTTTCTCTGTGTCTGTGCAGTTTACTCCATGCCTCTCTCTGGCGGAACCCAGGAGGCAGGGGACAAATGAGACTGGCTTTCCAGGGTCAACCCAGGAGGCTTGAAAGTAAGTGGTGGGAGGCCCAGGGCTCCCTGGTGCCATGCGGACCCCAAGCACAGCCCCAGGCCTGCAGGTTTCCATATTTCCGGGAGCAGGGTGGGGAATGAAGGGTCTAGCTGGGAGACAGGATGCCTGGTTTTAGGTCGGCCTCCATCTCCAAACCTGTTGTGTGATCCTGGGCTGTGACCAGCCCACAGCTGTTCCCCATGTATAAGGAGAGGCCATCCCATGGCCCCTGCTCAAAAGGCCTGGGCTCCATGCTCCCTAGTGGATTCCGCAGGGTTGAGCACAGAGTCCAGCTTCCAGACCAGGATTGGCTTTTGTTTTTGTTTTGCGTTTGTGTGCGTGTGTGTGTGACAGGGTCTTCTCTCTGCCGCCCAGGCTGGAGTACAGTGGCACGATGTTGGCTCACCGCAGCCTTGACCTCTCGGGCTCAAGCAATCCTCCCACCTCAGCCTCCTGTGTAGCTGGGACCCCAGGCGTGCGCCACTACGCCCGGCTGATTTTTGTATTTTTGTTGTAGATAGGATTTCACCATGTTGGCTCGTCTCAAACTCCTGGGCTCAAGTGATCCACCCACCTCAGCCTCCCAAAATTCTGGGATTACAGGTATGAGCCACTGAGCTGGCCTGTTTTGTGTTTAAGGCTGGCGGGAGTGGAGAAGGAACAAAGAAATCTGTAACTGGTTGTGATCAGTTAGTTGTCAACACCACAGCACGGACCAGCCCAGACCAAGGTTCTGATGGAGGAAGCGGATGGTGGAAACGCCCACCCACGCCACACACCTTGGCTTCATCTGCCTCCTGGACTTCAAGGGGCACCTTGACAGGGTAGCCTGAGGCAGCACGGCGTTCCCGCAGACGCTGGGCCTGCCGCTGCGCCTCAACTCGCTTGGCTTGCAGCTTGCTCAGCTCCCGCGCTGGGTCCACCAGCCCCTGCAGCTGCAGGTGGATGGAGCAGCGATCAGAGGCCAGGGCCACAGCGCAACCCTGTGGGGCGGGAGCCCCCAGGGCCAGGACGGCCACCACACCCGCACTCGCCAGCGCCTGCACGTAGCCTGACACAGCCGACGCCAGGACACCCGTGGCTTCATCCGCCACTTCCAGGAAACCTGCAGGGGAGGGAGGAAGGTGAGGCCTGGCTCTGTGGAGACAAGAAACCAAGCAGCCACTGCTGGACACTGGGTCCCAGAGTAGGCTGAGGGGACAGTGGGATGGGGTGGCCATGGGGGCCTGAGGCTCACAGTCAGGCCGGATCCGGGTGAGGTTATAGTCGGCCCGAAGAGAGCGCACGGCTCTTGTGATGCTTAGCGCCAGCTCGAGGGCGGCCTCTGCCTCAGGGTCCTTCCAGGAGCACTGTGGGGTGGAGGAGGGGTAAAGGGACCTGCCTCAGGGTCCTTCCAGGAGCACTGTGGGGTGGAGGAGGGGTAAGGGGACCTGCCTCAGGGTCCTTCCAGGAGCACTGTGGGGTGGAGGAGGGGTAAGGGGATCTGGAGGACAGGCCAGACTCCCCTCTCCAGGCCAGGCCATACCTCCGAGAGCTCCGGGTAGGGGGTAATGCAGAGGCTAGGGGGAGCTTGCGGCGTCCTCCGGGGCAGTCTCTGGAAAAGCTCTTCCGTCACAAAGGGCATGAAAGGCGAGAGCAGGCGTAGGCCAACATCCAGGCAGGTGTACAGGGTCTGGCGGGCACACTCGGCGGCCACCTGGTCCACCCCATTCAGTATAGGTTTGAGGCACTCCTAGGGAATGAGAAATACAGAGCTCAAGGCTGGAGGTCTAGCCTTGAGCCCTCGCTGTGCCTGGGGGGACTGGGAAGGGGATGGGTTGGCTTGGGTCTCAAAGCCAACTCTGGCAAAGCTGAGCCAGGGCTCTGCTGCCCACCCGCCCCTGCCGCCCCTGCCCACTCTGCTCCTTCTTACCAGGTAGACGTCACAGAGCTCATAGAGCCAGAAGCTGTACTGGGCAGTGGTGACGGCCGGGAAGTCGTAGGCCTGGAAGCCTTGGTTGCTGAGCCTCACAGCCTCTGTCAGGCGGCTGCGGATCCAGCGGTCCACCAGGCTCTCATGGCCTCCGGGCTTGGGGAGAGAGGGTGTATCAGCCAGTGCGCCAGGGGAGGGTACCATAACCCTTGGGAGCAGGAGTCATGGCCAAATCTTCACCCAGAGTCTAATGAGTCCAAAGTAACCACGTATGTGCCAGGATCTGGGGAGAAGTGACAGGCCCGAGCCCCCAGTGCCCTGGGCTTTCCAGAGCTTTCTAGAGCTCTAACTGTCTCTGTGTCTATCTGTCCCCCAAGCTACATGGAGGCCCCTCTGGACAGGGGTGCAGCCTGTGTGGGTGCTGCCAGCTTTGCTGCCCATCAGGCCCTTACCTGGGAGGTGGGTGAAGGCACAAAATCCTTCCCAAGGCCACGGAGGGCAAACTTGGTGGCATTCCAGAGCTTGTTACAGAAGTGGCGGTAACCCAGTATCCGGTTCACATCCAGGTTGATGTCACGACCTAGGTTGGGGGTGAGATGTAGTCCTCATCATCCTCTTCCCAGCCCATGCCCACCAGAGGCTCAGGGTGGAGGTGGGGATGGCCTCACGGAAGGAGGAAGTAGCCGGAAGGAAAGATTTCGGGCCCTTACCTTGGGACGTGTAGGCGCATAATCCAAACCGGAGAGCATCGGTGCCACACTCGGGAATCCCCGCTGGGAAGTCAGCTTTCTACAGGGAAGAGGCAGAGGGAGGAGCATCCTCAGCCAGCTCGATCCACACTGTGTTCCTGCTCAGCCCAGACCAACCCTCCATACCTGCCCTTCCTTGGCCTTCTCCACCTCACTGGGATCGAGGTTGCTGTTCAGTAGCTGGTCATGGAGGCCCTGAGGTTGGAATGGGAGCAGTCAGGTGGCTGCGGCCACAGCCCCATAGCCCTTCCTGGCTGGCCCAGCAGCCAGCCCACCTGCAGGGAGACTCCGTGGATGACATCCAGGGGATCGATGACATTGCCTAGAGACTTGCTCATCTTCCGGCCGTGAGCATCTCGCACGATGGCGTGGAGGTAGACCTGCAGGGCAGGTGGGGAGGCCCGTGAGACGCAGTCACCTCATCCCCAGCCTCAGTGCCTGGCCAAGACTGTGTCTGATCTACCCCACTATGAACCACAGGCCCCACTGAGTGTCCCCAAGAGCTCATTCAGCGCCTTTATATGAATCAGAAGTACTCCCTCCTCTGGGAAGACAAAGCCCTGGGCTGGGGCACAGGAATCACTGAGCAGGGCCCAGGCCGGATTTCAACCCCCACCAGCCCTCGGGCCAGGCTGGCCCACAGCCAACCCCGTGCCCCAGCCACTCGGGGCCCACGGTGCAGCACAGGAGGGCAGAGGAGGAGGCTGGGGGCTGTGGGAGGGTCTCGGCTGTCTCCGCACCTCTCTAAAGGGCAGTCTGCCTGTGAGCTTCAGGCCCAGCATGACCATCCGGGCCACCCAGAAGAAGAGGATGTCGTGACCGGTCTCCAGCAGCGTCCCGGGGTAAAACACACTCAGGTCTTCTGACTGAGGGCAGACCAGGGTGTGAAGGGAAACCAACACCCACCCTCTAGTCCCCTGTCCCGCACTGCCCTGGCCCCAGGAACTCACCTGGTTGGGCCAGCCCAAGATGGAAAAGGGGAAGAGGCCGGAGGAGAACCAGGTATCCAATACATCCTCATCTGAGACAGGCCAAAGGTCAGAGGTCAGAGGGAGTGGAGCTCTGCCCCCCCAACTCCCTCCAAACCCTCAAGGCCCTGCCTTGCCTTGCTGGAGACTTATCTTGTCAGGGGACACTCCAAACTCCTTGGCCGCCTTCTCCAGGGCCTCTGCCTCGTTGCGTCCACTCACCCAGTACCGCCCGTCAGGGTCCTGCCGCACATGCAGTGATTACCCAAGAGGGTGTGTCTGCTTCTGCCTCATTCTGCCCCTTCCCGCAACCAAGGACCCAATAAATCCACCACTTCCCCAGGTGTCCCGGCATCCAGCTTTGGCTCTCTGCTTACCTCCCCAGGGGGCACTGCTGGGTCATTGACAGTGACGAAGTATGCTGGGATTCGATGGCCCCACCACAGCTGCCTGGAAATGCACCAGTCCCTGCAAATGTGGGGGTGGGGAAATCAGGGAGGGCCTGGTGGAGCCCAGTCCAGGCCCTGCTCATCCCTTGGCCAGCCCCTCCCACATGGAGGGCCCTACACACCGGATGTTGTCCATCCAGGCATGCCACGTGCGCTGATGGGCCTCAGGCAG